CGCTCTTCTAGTTGTGTTGTAAAAATGCAGGATACATATACCGGTGATGTCTTAGCAGTTTTTAACTTAGGCTGGGTTTTTTTTTGTCTATTGCAGCTTAGGATGTCTAAAAAAATCCATGGAGGCTCTGTGGTGGAGATGCAAGGAGATGAAATGACGCGGGTCATCTGGGAACTGATTAAAGAAAAGCTGATTTTTCCTTATGTAGACCTGGATTTGCACAGGTAATGGCACTTTATGATACACAGCCATTTTGTACCACAATTTGCATTTGTCATTAGGCTTTGATCATGTTTCACCTAGCACTGAGAGCTCTTCCTGCACTAGTACGGAGAGGCAGAGCAGCCCTTTTTATACTGGTAAAGTTCCCAGCAGATTCCCCTGGTTAACTTACCTAAGGACCAACCTGTCTGAGTACTCTGGAAAGCATGGGTTCATGTATCAAAGTCCGGCAGCCCTTCTGGGGTCCCTCACAGCAGTAAGCAGTGAATGCTTAATTGTGACTTAGCGTTTTCCTGTACTGTGCTTCTAAGATCTCTCACAGACATGGTCTGCATTTTTCACCTCCTGTGTCTTGCCTTTCCAGCACCTGGCAGCCTGCATGGCTTCCTGCAGCCTAAACTAATAGAAACATGGGGAGTTTCAGTCACTCCCTGACTTGAAGCCTAGGATGTGTGAACTCTGAATAGGTTTACGGCTTCTTGCCATCTATGTTTGAAGATCTGCCCATAGAGCAAAAGGGTGGTTGTAGGGCACAGACTCTGTCCTGATGTCTGTAAGCCTGAGCTCTGCTGTCAGTGTGAGCTCAGTGTTACAGCTATTCACCATGCCTAGGCTGTGTTCCTACACACCCTTCTTCAAAGAAAAAACAATACTAGCTGCTGGTATGGCAAAAGGGACATGCTGTGTACAGATTCTGGTCAAGCAGAACAAATAATCTCTTCCTTTTCCAGTCACTGAGCTATAATTATTAGAGAAGTATCTTGCTGCCATGTGGACAGAGGCCTTCTGTGGTATCTGCCATTATTAAACCCACAAGTCTGACCTCTTCCCCTGCTCCTAGAGTCATTTGTATGCCACCTACGTAAGGCTTTCTGCTTGCTGGTGTTGAGAACCAAGCAAACAGGAACCCAGCAGCATAATACATGCACGCAGTCTGGAGAACATCCCTTTTCAAAGAGGGGTGGGAGGAGGGAAAGCAGACCCCTGGCTGAGGCAGCACAATGGCTAGATTCATGTACAGCTGGCTATGCTTCAGGGCTGTCCCACACTGGGCACCCGTTGTTCTCCTAAACCTATTAAAACACTGAATATGGGAAACGTGCTTCCTCTAACTGTTTGATGGGAACGTTGGCAGTTTTTCTGCCAGAGCAGGGTTGTGGGTCCATTGTCAAAGCAGTTTTTAAGCCCCGGGTAGCTTCATCTGCTTATTACATGAAGGAAGGCAGAACCCTCAGCACAAGAGGTTTGACATAAAGGCCCATATTCATCTGGGAACTGTGCTGCACTACACCATTAGGATCCCAGGCTGAAAGCTTCCATTGCAGGAAGCTCAGAAGGCAAGGCAGAGGAGGTGCTGGCTAAGTCCCATGCTGGCAGAGAACTTAAGCCGGAAACTGGAGCCATCCTTTCTCCAACCTCCCACCAGCAGCAGAAATACCAGTATATGAGCCTATGTTTTCCTCCAGTCCAGCAGCATTTGCACTGCAAGAAGGATAACTTCAGTTACGGCAGTGTGGGAACTACACTCACAGGCGTGTATGGAATCTGGTTTCCTTCCTGTTGGTAAGAAACAAACAAATGTCCTGGGCAGTTCTGACCATCTTTCTGGGTTTGTTACAGCTATGACTTGGGCATTGAGCATCGTGATGCTACAGATGACAGAGTAACTGTGGAAGCTGCTGAAGCCATAAAGAAATACAACGTTGGCATAAAATGTGCAACCATCACTCCTGATGAGAAAAGAGTGGAGGAGTTCAAGTTGAAACAGATGTGGAAGTCTCCCAATGGGACAATTAGAAACATCCTAGGTGGCACTGTCTTCAGGGAGGCCATTATCTGCAAGAACATTCCCCGACTGGTGTCTGGATGGGTGAAACCCATTGTCATTGGCCGTCATGCTTATGGAGATCAAGTGAGTCACTTCACTGCTTCCCCCCTCTCTTTATCTGAACAGGTTTAGTCCTGACTGGCATAGAGCTACAAAGACTTAGTCATCCCTGTGCTGCTGCTTCATCCCTGGTACTCCACCTGGCAGTGGGTACTGGCTAGCACTTTGTACAGCACCTGGCAAAGTGTGGGAGAGCCTGGTTCATGCCTCTCTTCCTCGGACAATGTGGCTGTATAAACAGCATTCAGGGGCCTATGCTTGGATTAGATAGGTCTGCATCTAGACACAGGGTATAACTCCTCTAAGTTATTTTTCTTCACCTCTGCAGAACCCTTCCCCATACATAGCAATGTCTTTAAAAAATATCCTTTACAGTGCCCATCTTCTTGCTTCTCAGAAGGACTTTTTGGTGGCAAATATTGCTTACAGCAAAAATGGATCTGAGTGAGTGATTTTTAGAAGTTGCTTTCTGTGCGTGAGTGTGGTTTTGCTGTTTTGGTTTTTGTGGGTTTTTTGTGTGTGGATGTTTTGGTTTTAGGTTTTTGGTTTTTTAGGTTTTTTTTTTTTACATGCAATCTGCTTCTTAAACTTACTTGCATAGTGCTCTTGCAGAGTTGCTCTTCACACTGGCACATCAGGCTGCACTACTGAAGTAAGGAAACATCCTTTATTGGAGCTGGCTTGGCAGAGGTATTGCAAACCATGGAAGGCCCTAGCATGGCACTCAGTGTAGTGGCCTTAGAGTAGCCTGGAGGGTAAGATCAAACATACTGTTCTCCATGGGTAATGACATGCTGTAAAGCTGCCAGACATGACAGAAGTCTTCTGTAAGAGCCAAGTGCTCAACCAGATGAGTAAACCCACAAACTGGGGGCAAGTCATAAGATTAGCTGGAGCAGGAAGGTAAAATAATAAATTTCCAAGAGAAAAGAGTATCAGAGCCCTGACACTAGAAAAGAATGGGATTCAACATTCTTAACAGTACTGAATAATTGAGGTCAAAATAATAATTGGAAACAATGGATTAAGGGAGAAGGATTGAAACCCTGCCAAAGTACAAGATCAAAGTGAAAGGAATAATTTAAGAACATTTAAAGGACAAGACAATTCTGTAACCTCAGAACAGTTCAGGGAACCAATTCTCTCAATAGGAGGGAAACCACATGAAAAAGGATGATGACTTTCAAGGAAATGTCACCTTAAATAGTACTGTTCAGGATCGTTGGGAAGATGAGACACCATTTAAAAACTTGAAGTGCATGTTGGGTCTTGAGTCTGTATAGCTCAGAGGGACAGAATGTGTACAAGAAGGCTCCTGGGAAAGCTTATAGCACCTTCCATTACCTGAAAGAGCCTATAGGAAAGCTGGAGAGGGCCTTTTTACAAGGGCCTGTAGTGACAAGATAAGGGGTAACAGGTTTAAATTGAAAGTGGGGAGAGTTAGATTGGACATCAGGAAAAAATCCTTCATGGGGAGGGTGGTGAGGCACTGGCACAGGCTGCCCAGAGAAGTTGTGGATGCCCCATCCCTGGAAGTGTTCAAGGCCAGGCTGGATGAGGCTTTGAGCAACCTGGTCTAGTGGAGGGTGTCCCTGCCCATGGCAGGGGGGGTGGGACTAAATGGGCTTTAAGGTCCCTTCCAACCCAAACCACTCCTGATTCTATGATTTACAGAATTCGAAGAACTCCTACTCCAGATTGGTCTTTCAAGTGTCGTAAGATGGATAGAAATCATGGCTTTTATTAAGGTGCTGTATGAATCCCCCTTGTTCTTGAGGTCAGTAGTTGTGATATAAATGTCTTTACTTGAGGCAGGGAGAGTAACCTTTCACTCACAGACCACACAACACTGGATACTTTGCACTTTAAAACTTCAGTGCATCTGCAAAAATAGGTACTCTGCTAATTGATGGGGCCCAAGAATATATAGGCTTTTTCCTTTAAAGAGGAGGATCCCTTTTGAAACAGATTATTGACTACTTGTCTTTCTAATCTCTAGTTAAATAATCTGATGACAACCTGGCTGAGTAAACAGAGCCTGTTCAGTCAGGGTTTCTTTAGCACAACTATTCATGCTTTTCCGCACCCTCCCCTCCCAAATGCAGGTTGTTTTTTATGGTTCTGTCTTCCTGAGAGATAAAATCATCATTTCAATTGTCTTTTTTTAACAGTACAGAGCAACTGATTTTGTGGTACCCGGGCCTGGAAAAGTAGAGATGACCTACACTCCAAAAGATGGAGGCAAACCAGTCACCTATCTGGTCCATAATTTTGAAAGTAGGTGTTCTCTCTTAAGTTGTGAATAAAACTGATACTTCAAGGTTGAATTAAACCGAAAAATATCAGCCAGATCTGTATGGTAAAATACGGCTTTGAGGTAGAGTGGGGGAGAAGGTCTGGGCCTTGTTCATTTATCTGGGAGTACTGGAAGTTTACTCGAGATCTTCCTGGGATGGAAGAGGCATATCAAACACACAGTCATACTAGACTGGCCACCTCCTTGTATGACAACTCTGGTAGTGGAGATATATTTGAGAACAATTCAGTTATTATGTCTTGGTTTAGTTTGTCTTACTGGGCTCTGTATCTTTACAGTTTGTACCCTTCTTTATTAAGCAGTATTTATTTCAATAGAAAGGAGAATTGACACTTGCTTTGCAAGGTGAAACAGAGCTTTGACAGGGATGCTCCTGACTCCATAGGCTCTGTTAAAATAGATGCCGTCTCAAAGGTATTGGTGTCCCTCCTAGCAATATTGCTGTGCTGGTTGTAGACACTGCTATCCTCAGGAGGAGGAGTCCTCCTATTGCCGGGCTTGGTTGCGTGAAAACAATTACACACACATTGGTAGAACCCAGGGTGTTTCTTTAGGGGCAGGACCTGGGAAAACATCGCACAAGTCATCTCCCTTGCCTGTCAGGGATCAAAGTGTTCAGGATTTGAAGCCTTATGGTGACTTATGTATGTGAGTGCAATGGGGGTTTTTTTCTAGCTATAAAAACATAATACTTCTGTGTAAACCATGGAATCCTAATTTGTATGTAGTTGGATACTGCAGATGGATTGTCAAACTGGTACTGAGACTGCCATATGACCCTCTTGTGTAATAATTGATTTCTCTGGCACACAGAAGCCTAAATCTCTACTATCTCTTGTTGCAGAGCCTTTAGTCTGGAGCGCACCTGCTTCACTGCCAGTCCTGATCTGTTTTCATATGATAGGTGACCGGTGAGCCTGTAATGGAGACGTCTGGCAGTTCCAGCTACCAGTCTGATTCACTGCTCTGCACTGCATCAGTGAGCAGAAAGCGAGGAAGTGCAAAGAGGGCAGATTACTGCTGTTGCTCTGGGGGAACTCCCCTCCCCACAGATAACTCTTGTGCCAGCATATCTCCACAGTGCATAAGGGAATCCTGTCCTAGTGCTATACTAATATGTTCAGCCTTGAGACCGAATCAAGATAATTTAGTAGGCAGTAGCACTGTATGATTGCAACAAGGGTTTTTTTTTTTTTACTTTGATTCAAATTCTTATTTGCATATAACTTAATAGCTGTCATCCAGCAACTCTGAAATCATGGCTCCAGAGGACACAGTCTCTGTAGCTGATCAGACCCTGTTCTGCCCTTGACTCACTAAGGGAGGCAGGGGGACAATGTGTATTTTCTCTTGTAACAACAGGAATCTCAATCCTTGCCAATATCAACGTTAAATGACCTTGCTGTCTTGGCAATCAGATAAACCTCCTCTGGCTTCCCCTTTTCATTCTCCATGCATGTCCATATAGTAACAACAATCTGGAAGTAAGGACAAATGGATATTGGGAAAGGGTATTTTCTGAAATAATATAAAAATATCTGGGGTGTTTCTAGAGCAAAGATCCCTGATAACGGCACTGTACAACCAGCTAGAGAGGTGGTGGTAGTAAGTCACTTTTAAAATAAAGTACATGGCATCTACTTTTCACTAGAAACCAAGAGCTGTGCTCTGAAGGTGACAAAGCTTTTTCATGAAGCCCTAGACCCTACTTTCACCCACAACCAGCCTCTCACATGAGCTGAATGCTGCTTTCCCCGAGGTGAGCTGGGCTGGAAGTTTAAGGCATTTCCATTCAGGCTGCTAATACCTCTGCCTAACACTGCTTATGTGAGTGTTGATAGTTCTTCAGAGCCTTCTCAGGACTTTCCCTTGCACCCAGATGATGGGCATGTTCTTCCCACAGCTTGCTGGAAGTGAGCCTGAGCAGGTGAAACAAAGCTGCAAGGTAGGTTTTTTTTTGAATGCATGTGGGGACTTGTTTACCTGCACTAGGCAAAGCAGCCTGACTACTGGAGTTTGTTCTGCAATACAGGCAAAGGTACAAGGCATTTAAGATGGGAGCAAGCCCATTTCTAGCTTTGATTGAGTCCCCTGCTGTGAATTACTTGTATGGCAAGTAGGAGCTCAGGCACACTCACTCCTGTCACGGTTTTGCTGCTTAGGCTGGATTAGGAAGAAAATTCTTAGAGGTATTAGATCACAGTATTAAGATGTACCTAGCTGTAAAAACCTCACCCTCCTACCCATGTGTCACAGGACTGCTGGAGCTTTGAGCTGATAGTGCAAAGTCAATCTTCTCCTGAAAAAAACATCCTTAAATTGGTAACTAGATGAAGACACCTGGGAATAACACCAGCCTGCTGGAGTATACTGTGAGGAGACTCAAATCTTCAACCAAAGCTAAATCTAGTTGATTCGTATTTGTTCTTCCTCCACTAACAGGCTGTGGTGGTGTAGCCATGGGAATGTACAATCTTGACCAGTCTATCAAGGATTTTGCCCACAGTTCCTTCCAAATGGCACTGTCTAAAGGCTGGCCCCTCTACATGAGCACCAAGAACACTATCCTGAAGAGATACGATGGCCGCTTTAAGGACATCTTCCAAGAGATCTATGACAGGTAATGAGGATAGTTGTGCACTTCCTACCACAGTGCACAAGTCTGCAGCAGAACATCCTCTCCAGCCTTGTGAGCTGTTAGAGTTAATTCAACATTTTCAGACACTCAGCAGCACTCTCTGGGGGCTGTACACCTTCTCTGACAGTCTCCCTTGTCCTTCAGGACACTGTACTCTGTATTTAAAGCTCTAGTAAATGTGGCTGTGGTATTCATTGCTCCTAAGAGTCACAGGTTCTCTGTGGGATCCTCTGATTCTGAAGCAGACTTGTAGTGGCCCTGCAAAGCAACCAAGGTGGGGAAAAAAGAGTAAAGAGGATGCAAATTTCTTCTGTTTGTTTGTTTGTGGTTTGGTTGGGGTTTTTTTTAACTCATTCCTGTGCAGCTCACTATGCACAATTATATGCACAAATTGTGCAATGTTGGTTTTATCTGTATGACAAGGTGTTCTGGGTTTTGTTTTCCAGGGAATACAAATCCCAGTTTGAAGACAAAAAGATCTGGTATGAGCATAGACTCATTGATGACATGGTTGCTCAGGCCCTGAAATCTGAAGGAGGCTTTGTCTGGGCCTGCAAGAACTACGATGGGGATGTGCAGTCTGACTCTGTTGCGCAAGGTATGAGAGGTTTTCTGTGCTGCCCTAAAGTTGGCTCAGTAGCAGTTTCATGTGACCTTGTGTCATATCTTATCTGATGGCCCAGGAGGTGGTGTGGGCTCTCCGAACTTACATTTCAAACCTGTGGCCAGTTGGAGTGATACCAGGCAGGCAAAGAATTTCTGATTTCACTTTCACCAGAAAATCCATTGAATGTAGACTGTGTAGTTGCACTTCTTTACTGAATGGCTGTTCCTACCAACATAATAACTGATAGGCTTTCCACTGTAATGGAAGGTATGCAGGCAGCTGGGATTCAGTCACTGACAGCTTGAGTTAAGCTGTCTGGTGGCAAGCATACTGGCAGGTGCTCTATAGATAAGTAAGAAAACCTTCAGGGCCTAAATCTGCCTGCCAGGTGTAAAGACAGAGAATGGTAATGTTTAACTTTACAGACTTGTAGTGCTTGGTCAAAATCCTACATAACCAAGCTGCCTGGTGCCAAAACAAATACGGATGTAGAAACCCAAAGGGCAAGATGCATGTCTAAAGTAAAGCCAGTAAACTGCCTCCCACAGAACAAGGATGTGTGTTGGACTACTGAACAAAGAAACTTTCAAAGACACAGATCTCTGAAACCTACAGTGTTAAGTGATGTGTGTCCAGTTTTTGCCAGCTGATGGATCCTTTCACTAGAGTAGATGCTCTTGATAAGAAGTAGGTTTGTTTCTTATCACCCTGTGGGGAAGATAGTGATTGGCAGTCCAAAACTGCTTATTTAGGATTCTTTGTTCTCATATTGGACCTTTTCAGTAAAAATCTGTCCAGCATGTTAGGTGAGAAAACTGATTTTCCTCAAACGGTGCGGAATGTCTATATCTCATGCTTCAGCAGCACTTTCTGTTGAGATGAGTTGTTATTTTCATGTGTCAGGACCAGCCAGTTAGTTGGGGCAGCAGCACTGCTGTTCAGGAGTACACACATCAGGGCTGGGAGGATGTAGGGGGATTTAGGAGGGCTGTCCAAAGGAGACACTCAACTTGTTAAACTGTGTATTCTGTAGGCTATGGCTCTCTGGGGATGATGACCAGTGTGCTGATCTGCCCTGATGGCAAGACTGTTGAAGCAGAAGCTGCTCACGGCACAGTTACTCGTCACTACCGCATGCACCAGAAAGGCCAAGAAACCTCCACTAACCCCATTGGTGAGTGGCTTTTCACTGCCCTTCATGATCTCTACACGCCAAAGAACAGGTTTGGAGTAAGAACGTCTGCAGAGAATTGCACCACTGCATGGTGAAGCTGGTAGTTCATAATGCATTTTTCTTCTGTTGAGACGGCTGCAGCCTGGAGCAAAACCAAGCTGGAATAGAGTGAGTGTGAGCAGTAAGCTAGGCTTAAGCTAGCCTCGAGACATGCCCTCACTCTTCAGCAAATGATGGGTTTATAGCCACAATGGCCTTCAGGTTTAGGTTGGCTGGTTTTTATTTTACTCCCCTTCCTGATGCTCAGAAAGACCCAGCCAGCCCTCAAACCACATACATACTTAAGTGTAAGTGCACCTAGAATGGGACATGAGGGAAATAATGCTCTACAGTTGCATAGGCACCAGAGTGTAATGTCATACCGGGGAGAAGACTGTACTCTTCTGTCATAAGGACAATTTTCTGTCCAACCACAGAGTCCTATCTGGTCATTCTTTCTGACTTGGGCAAGGACATAGAAGGACAGAGTAATCTAGTGTTCTCTCTTAGCCTCCATCTTCGCATGGACAAGAGGACTAGCTCACAGGGCTAAGCTGGACAACAACACTAGCCTCAAGAACTTTGCGGTTGCCCTGGAGGAAGTCTGCATTGAGACCATCGAATCTGGCTTCATGACAAAGGACCTTGCTGCCTGTATCAAAGGCCTACCTAAGTAAGTGTATGAAGTAATCAGCTGTGCTTGGAGGAGGCTGTTTTACTTCCTGTTTCTGAAAAGCATTTGCTGGAAAGTTACTGTAGTGTGGTGAAGAATTGCTAGTGTGGTCATAGGACAGGGCTCCTCTGTACACAGTACTGTACACACAGAATATGAGACACTCCCTGCCCCAAGTAGCTTACTCTGGGCTGCTCTGTCCCTGCTTTTGTACCAAATGCATAGGGAAATAAATAAAGAAGGAACTGCAGAAATTTATTCTATGACAGCCTGGCTACATTGGCCAGATCCTGTCCTGTCCATTTATTAGAATGGAGACCTACTTCACTGCAAAATACCACCTGGCTATGTCTTCTCTGGAGATTTTTGGCAAAACCCATCAGTCTGAGTGGGAAGTAAGTCTTGGTTTTAGAGGCAAGACGTAAGAATTCTTTGAACAGTCTTCCCCTGCTTTGAGCAGCTTTACAACTAATGTCTTGTGTCGTTTCCCCCCTCAGTGTCACACGCTCTGACTACCTGAACACCTTTGAGTTCCTGGACAAGCTTTCTGAAAACTTGAAGGGGAAGCTGGCCTCTCTGCCCAAATTTTAAGGCACGAGTTCTACTCAAGCTCTGCTAACAAAGCGTCTCCTGCTTGCACCAGAGTGTAAGTGGCACTGTATCACACTCTGCTGTGTAGTATTTCAAATATTAGGCAAAAAATGAACATGTACACTTTTTTAAATGTTTAAAAGATCATGTTTTCTTAAACCCCTTGAGCTGCTGGGCAAGGCCTTACTTTTGCTCAACAGCTGAATGTGATAGTATTCCAGCTCAGTGTGGGTCTGGATGCCTAATGTCATTCACAGCAGACATGAGGTTTCTCTCCATGACTTTGTGATCTGTGTTTCTTTCCTCTCTTCCTCTCAGACTGAAAGCCAGTCTGTGTCACAGCTCTGGTCAAACCAGTGGTGACTTACTGTTCAACAGACCTTAGAAATCAGAACCATCCTCATGTCTCCACTGAGTGGAATTGGGCTGACAGGGCTCTGCCAGCTCTGCTGTACCCCTTTCTTACTTAATTTATCTCTTAGTGCCAACCAGAGCATAGTATTCTGGTATTGAGGGGTTTGGTCCCATTGCTACAGTCAGGACTGTAGCGTTTCAGAAGAAGCACTTAGTTAATGCTGGAAACAGGCCCTGTAGGCTATGAGCCTACTGAAGCCATGCTGCGGTGTCGTAACGCAGGCTGTGCATACAGTCATGCTCCTGACTGGCTGTGAAGCATAGGAACTGTTACCTCTTCCCCCACCCCACAACTCATAAAGGTGCAAAACTTTTCTCCAGTTGTCTGAGCTCATACTTAACCTTCCTGTTGTGATACAGCAAGTCTGATATGACTGTGAAGAACTATTCCATCCATCATTTTGTGTTTGGGGTTTTTTTAAAGGATATTTTAGTTCAGACTAAAATAAAAACCAACTAACAGTGTTTGCGTCTCCTTCCTTTGTGTGATCAGGAGATACAGGGCAATTGTGCTTTGGAGGGAGACTCCAGTACTTCTCACACAGTCCATTACATCTTGGGTTGTGATATAAACACAAAATAGTCTCTTCCTTTGTAAGAGTTTTAACTTCTTGTGGCCCAGGGCAAGATGGGATCTGTAGTGTGGTGGTAAGCATCAGGTAGTGCACAAGAACTTAAAGTACCACTTCCAATGAAATTTTATTTTGGGACTAATATAAACTCAGACTGATGTAGCATCCCTCAACAAAGATCAGAAACTGGTTGTACATGAGACGGACTCTCTGCAGCTGACTAGCTGCAAGTGTTGGTTAGGACAGAAATACAATGTGAGACTAGATCAGCCAGCATTAACATTCATTTAGGGATGAGCATCTACATGCAATGCAGCCCTACAGCTGTTAGAAGCTGTCACTGTGCACTGAATATGAATGGACACAGCAGCCTGCAATTACATTATTAACACAAACATATAAGAACTACAGCTGGAAAACATCCCTCTGCTGACCCATGGAAACAATCCTCAGGAGCAGCTGGAGATCTATGTTCCTGCTTGGCTCCTCTCACCAGTAGTTCAAATTACTCTGCTACAGTCAGGTAGGTCACAACAGCGCCGCTCCCAAGTTCCCTGCTATTTACTAGTTCCTGTCTGGGTTCCAGCATTACAGAGTACCAGAGAAAGTCAAGTACCTCTCTGGAAACTGAACAAATAATAAACAGGCCTTTTTTTTTGTCTTACACTTTTTGTTTGTTAGTGGCTTCACCATAAGCAATGTAGTCACCTGACTGCAAATGACACTTTTCCCTCTGTACTAACCAAGTTTCCATCTTCTGGTGGACTTGGCTGGAGTAGAGCAAGACCCAGCCTGTCCTCATGAACTGATGGATGTTGCTGGAGTGCTGAGGAGAGAAAGGAACCCTTGGCTACTGCTGCTTCTCCCACCAAGGAAACGTGATGATAAGAACGGAGCATCCCACTCCTTGCTCTGCCAGGGAGAAAGGAAACGTTTCCTGCTGCCCAGGAGGCACATTCCCTCCCCTTTTACTACCAGTATGATCACTTTTTCTCTCCACCACTCCCTCAAACATTTAATATCAATGCCCTTCAAAGTTAGACACCAGTAGGCCCTAAAAAAGCAAATGCTGGAGGCCAGTGGGCACTGGAGAAGAGCACAGATTTCCTGAAACATGACTGCCCGCTTCCGAGTGTGCCAGCTCCTCCACAGAGCTCTTGGGCAGTGCCCTTGTAGTTCCCAGCACCAGTAGTAGCCCTTTGCACCAGCACTCCCATCTGCAGATTCCAGAAACAGGGGTCTTTGATCCCAGGACAGCCCAGCTTACCTTCAGTGCTGACAGGGTGGTGAGCTGCATGCTCCTGCCTCCCAGGTACTGCATGCTCAGGGCTGGCAGAAGGCTCAGTTTTCAGCTCCATAGTTGCACAAATCCCCACTGCCAGCAGACTGTGAGGGGATCTCTCACTGTTCTGACACAGCTCCCTTTCAGAACAGGGGAGAGCTCCGACGTCTAGGGCTGTCCACAACTTCAGTAGTCAACCCCAAACGTGACTTTGTAGCAGAGCACTCTGCCTGCATAGAACCCACCTTTTACAGGTGACACTAGGCAGCATGTCACATGCCTCTGCTGTCAGAACCTGGGCTGCTGCCACCCTTTCATACCCACTGGTGCTGCTGAAGGGGTATCTGGAGCACCGGAAGAGCAGCCCTCCGAGCTACACTTGCCCCAGGCTTGCGTAGGGCCAGGCGAACACTGGCAGAGCCAGCTAGCCAGCTGTGGTTGCCACAGGCAACTTTGCAGACAAGCACCCCAGCATTTAAAGGGGGAGGGTGGGGAGTAAACCTCACTAAGCTTCTATACTGTCCACATAGAAGATTTTATTTATACTTGAAAAATAAAATAAAAAACAAGCTATGCAAAACATCAGAGAGATTCTAGCAAAGATGCACAAGCCCCTAGGAGCTTGGGGGGTGCCTGTTTAACCACTATTTTACTTCTGGCTCCATGTCTATCGTCATTGTTACTACCTTGTTGGCACTGGGAGGTCCTTCAGGAAGCCATTCTTTTTCTTCTTTGAGATTATTGGACACTTCTTTGGCTTTGGCAATTTTCTTCCTTTTGTTTTTGTAGAGAGGGGAGCAGAGGAATTCTGTGTCTGTAAAAGGGTCACCCCGCCTCAGTTTCCTGCAGAACCAAAAGGGTTAGATTGAACCATCAAGGTATTTCTTGATACATGTCTAGCTTCTGCCTATAAAGTTTCTGATTTTACTGAAATGCTTCACTGTGAGATGACTGGGTGGTACAGTTTGTTCCTTGTCCAGTACAAGAACAGCTGTACCAGTACAGAGTACCTTCGGACCCAGTACAACCCATTCCTCACAGAAAGTTTAAACTGTGACACTTCTCAGAGAAAAAACATTGTTAGGCTACTGGGTAATACTAAGTCATCATTTTAGGAGTTAAATGGTTCTGTACAGTAGCCACTAGATGTACTCAATCTACAGTTTCTTAGGGAAAAGATGCAGCTACTTGTTTAGGTACTTGTATCTGCCAGAAAAGCAAATACAGACACAACCTGCTCACAGGGAGAACCCTCCTCAAAACTTAGCATTTCCTTCACTAAAACCTGATGACGATGGAACTATTACTCAGTAGCTGTATAAAGCTTCAGATACTGCAGAATGGCAGCAAGTGAAATCAGTGCTTCTGCTTAGCTGTCTGTATTCAGCCTGTACTTTATCCTCAGGCTAATCCCTCATTTGCAGTGGAGTACCGCAGCGACAGTCCGCTAGGAGCTTGGCTCTTCTCCATGAGGGATGTAACTTGTTACCAGGAGCCTGCACACGCCTCCGTGCTGATACGGAAGTTGGGCTTAACCACACGGCGGTAGGTGGGTCACAGAAACACAAAGGGTAGGAGCAAGCTAAAGACAACATGACTGAGGGTCCAGCCCTGGAGAGTGAGCACAGGAGAGCAGAGCAGGGGTTGCAGCATATAAAGTCACAGGAAGGAATAGTTTAAAGCCCAACCTGTTCAGTTTGGGCTCTGCATAGCAGGCCGGGTCCCGTCTTCGCCTGGATGAGCGCCCTGATGCTTCTTCTAAGCTGGTGGAAGACAGAGTCCTGGCATTGGTCAAGTCCTGTAGTGGCCTGATCTCTACAGAGGAAGACATTCAAGTGACTCAATCAAAGCATTTTCAAATCATTCCCAGATGCCCTAAGAAAACAGCTGCCAAATAGATAAGGGCTGCAATACCAGGTTTCTCTGATCACTGCACATGAATTAGGTTCCTCATTAAAAAATTACAGGTCACTGTTACTGCTAGCATCGTTGGGCCCCAGTGCAGTAAAGAAATGATACAGAAATGAGAGTTGATAGTTGTAATGCCCAGGAGCCTGGAGGAGAAAGCAAGAAGCTTACAGCCTGGAGGAGAAAGCAAGCTCATGGCACCCAGACAACCTACGAGACTTCCAGCAAGACACGGGACCCCGCCAGTGTTCACTGCAGCTTTCTAAGGGAAGTTGGCCAAGAAGGGCAGGGTAGAACAAACTTCCTCCCTCACTACAAAATACAGCCCACGCCTGCTGTAACAGGCCTGCTAGTCAATGGCTACAGGAAGAAAAAACCCCACAAAAACCCCTTTACAGAGCACCTCATAAGAGCAAGCTCCCAAAAAGGGTCCACTTAGCTACTGCTGGAGCATCCAAGGGATACACCCCCCAAATCCTTTTGAAAACTAAACCAAAACATCCACAAGAGAATTGAGGTAGCTCCTGATGAATTTCCATTGGAGATACCACGTAGGGGTATATATAATCTGCAACCTGGCAGCACATTTAGGGTCAAAACATCTGCCATCTTCATCACATTCTGTGCCCCAGTTACACTGACTCTAGGAGGCAAGGTCAGCATCAAATTATACTTTTCAACTGCTCGAGTAATTGATTTTCTAAGTTAACAGGCATGCCCTCAAGACAGCAAAATTGGTAAAACAGAACTTGCAGCACAGGCTTCTAGTCTTTTCCCAACACCCATCCAAGAACAAGTGACCAGAAATTCTTATAGTAATGCTGATAAACCAGAAGCAAATGCAGCCACAGAAATGACAAGTGGAAGCATAAATGGTGTATTGGACACTGATCTTAAACTCTGGAAAAAAAAAGCAGAGAAGAAAGATATAAGCACTTGCTGCATGCATTTTTGCACTCAGATCCAAACACAGGTCCCCTCCCCAGCCTACCACCTACCAGATTCCTGTGAAGGTGAGCTCCGAGAACTTGACTCAACCTGGTTTCTTCCCCCAGGTTTTTCTTCTGCAGTCTTCTCTTCAAATATCAGGGAACTTTGCAGCCAAACAGAGGGTTTCTCTGGCACTCTGTTGCCCTCAGTACTTGAGCTCGTAGAAACTGGTACGTCTGTAAGCCTGGAGCTGACAGGCAAAGCTGCAGAACAGGTCATAGAAGAGGATTCAAGACTGCGTGAAAGCTCCATAAGATTATTTGTAAGCAGTATCTCGGCTATCTGCTCCTCCAGGAAGATATCTGGCTCAGACAGCAGACCTCTAATGCAGGACTTCCCTTCCAGGACAGTTTGCCTGGCTGCAAGTTCTGCTGAACTTCCAGTGAGCGCCTTGCCACCATCACTGTGTCTGGCTAGGGAATCAGTTTCCGGAGGTCTAGAGGTATTCCTCTGAGGCTTCGCTTTGGGATGGGTCTCTTTCTTCGATGCATTCATGTTGTCAACTTCAGCTTGCCTCTTCTCTTGGAGGCTACCTGTCTGTTTTTTATTGCTGTGAGCAGCTACCACCCTCTGAACTCTGGGGATTTTGCTAGCTTTGCTCCCAGAAATAGGCCTGGGAGGTATAATTTCACCCTCTTCAAAATCTGTCTGGGCACAACCCGAGTTTCCTGCAAGATCCAAAGGACGGACAACATAAGTTTTCCTGCTACATTTAAGATTACCTGTTGAATCCATTGTGTTCTCCTTAGCTATTCCTCGAACATCTATACATGGCCCAAAACCATCAACTTTATTTGTCTGATCACTACAACTGCTTTTCCTGGTAGTCATCTTCCTGCTTGTCTGGCTTCTTTTAGCCTGTTCTTCAGCCTTGGCCTCTGGTACTCTCACCCTGTTTGGCAGATTCTCCTCCTCAGCATCATCTCTTTGCCTAATTACCCTAGTTTTTCTGTTGGGTTTCTGTTTGATGATTTTTGTGCTCACACCTGAGTCCTCTTGCCAAGGACAGGCACTTGAGGTCTCTTTCCTCAAGAAAAGCTTTTGTAGACTGCAATCAGATGCAGGAACTTCATTACTTGAGAAGGTATGAACTGGGCTTTTTGACAAGCTCTCCATACCCTGGATCTCAAAGACCGCCTCCCTTTCATCCTGTTGCAGTACATCACCACTTCCAAGACTCTGCAGCTGCGCCAAATTCACCACATGTGTTCTTCTGACATCTCTGACTTCATCGGAAGACCGGGTGTGTTGCTCCACACTACAGCCTCTGTTCTTCCTCTTCAAGGCCCCCACACAAGCCTTCTGCCTTATCTCAGAAACTTCAGACTCACTAGAACATGTTGCAACTTTTGGCTGAAGAAGCTTACTCCCATTTTGAGCACTCTCTTCACCCCGAGGTGTATTAGGACTAGCTTCTGCATTGTTTTTAATTGCATTTCTTTTCTTTTTTCCTGTGCTTGCCTTTTTAACAGTTGTTTTCTCACCAGTTTTACAGTTACCTTTGCTTTTAACCTTTACAGGAACAAACTCAGGGACTTGGCTATAGCTGGGGTCCGTTTCAACACCACACCCAGTTTCTTTAGGCTGGTCACAAAAATTCACATTACCCAGAGGTTTTCTAACAGGAATAACAGTGGTTTGAGTTGGTGAAACCAGGGAGCTGGGAGATTTGAGCTGTGGCTGTGTGTTGCTCTTGCTGGAGATGCTGCTGTCTGTTGGGATACTGCACCGAGCTGCCTGAGTGGAACTGACACATGGAAAGGTGTCAACACCAGAACATGGAGTGCTTGTTGCAAACAGGGTGGAACGCTTTCTCCTCTGAGTAACATGCCCTTGCGAGAGACGATCCAGGAATTGTTTTGCCATCTCATCAGCCTTGTATGAAAGACGATGACTTTCCCAGGCAAGCGCTGGCAAACTGTTGGGATTCTGTTGGGTGGCACACAAGGCCTCTGTTGGAAAGATGAAATTCATTACCAAGACTGAGAAATGCAGCAGAGGCCAGCTTTCCCCATACCCCTAAAAGCCATGCCCCAGACACTGCCGCAAATCCAAGGCATAAAAAACACATTATTTTGTCTCTACAGGGACTCCCCAGACTTACTGTGTAGCAGAATTGCATAGCTGGTTCCCCTCAGAACAGAAAGGCAGTCCAAAGCAAGATCACTTGACCAGCCCTATATTTAGGAATGCTCATAATGTGTCTGAGAGTTATGACCTATATGGCAAATCCAGAAGGAACAGAAGATGTGCATCTAGTCAGAGTCTGCACCTTCAGATGCTTCTGAAAATCGTACATAAGCTCAGTGCCTATTACTCAAAGCCTAATGAGTGACCTTGAGGTATTGCAAGCATGCCAAATACCCCCATCATGACATCCCATTCTGGGACAGATGCAATTCTAGCGATATCAACATCGCCGAAGCATGCGGTTCCTCACTCTGATTTCTCAACACAGACAGAAAATTCATACCAGAAGAACAGCAGAAGATGCAAATTTACCTACAAAGATGTGAGAGTCAAGAGAAGACTCTTGTGCTTCCATTGCTTCAGTCGGCTTCTTCCCATTCTCCTCCTGGTGGGACTGAGGCTTCTCAGCAGGTTGTGGTGGCAAAGTGTCTTTGGAGGCAACAGGTGCAACTTCCAGGCGCTCAGCAGGTCTCTGAAGACATAGTGAGGATATCTGTACTGCTGTGGAGGCATTACCTTGCTGTCCTGCATCATGCAGCTTGGAAATGGGCACCCGCATTGGCATCCCTGCAGTTCTGGTGAGAAGGAATAACAGAAACAGATCATGTTCCATGCCTGTGACAGGACCCAGGATCCAGCTGAACAGCTACAGCTTTCACCTCCATTAAGAGTTACTGAAATAAGTTTCTGAAGGCTTCAGGTGCTGAAGAACACACACAGCCCAACCAGGGCAGATTACCTACACCACTGCAGACACAGAAGCAGGGGAAAAATACACAGAGGCAACAAGGAAGCAAGGCCTTCCAGCACACAGGTTGTGACCACAGGTTCACCTCGCTGCGGAACACCAAAGCAGCTGCTCGGAGGTATGTGTGCAGGCAGCTCCAAAGGCTTCCCCTGTGTTCAGAGGGGAGACTAGGCATCAGAGAAACAGACCTTCAAATATATGTTAAGAGAACCTGTTCTGACCTCCTTTCCAAAACCTAAGTTTACATCATACAAGTACATTACTATTAAGCATATACATGTAGCAAAAATATAAGCAGCCAGCTATGGCACTCACTTGAGGAAACGTTGCAATGCTCACCAGCAACAAAGGAAAAACTACCTAAAAGCAATGCACTGTGAAACAAAGGAGGGAGAAGGACCAGTTTATGCAGACTTGGTATTAGGACAATTAAGACAAGGAGTGGCAGCAGAAAGACACAGAGTAAAGGAAACATCAAGCAGTGGTTTACAGAAGATGTCTTATGTAAAACAGACAACTGGGCACACACAGGATAAAGTTTAGCTTACAGAAATTCAGGACAAGCTTGGTGATATCTGACATTTTAAGACTCACCTCACAAGCTGAACATCTGCAATATCATCAGCCCAGCTATCTTCAGTCACACTGCTCTTCTGGCCAATGGGCAAGGATGCAGAACTTGTATAGGACTGGGAAGTAGAAAAACAGAAGGATGGTTTAAAGCTCTTGCAAGCTCCTGCCCAAAAAACAGCAGAAGCTCAGTTTCACCCTGGAAAGGATTTCAAATACTGCCGGTGACCCCCTCCTAAAATTGCACAAACTATGGAATTAATTGCTGCAGAGTCAGATTCTGTATCCACAGGCTTCAAGATAAAGTTAAACTAGTTCAGATAATCTGAAACTAAGAAGCAGGAATATTTCCCCACACAGTCATGAGACAGGACATACAAAAGATGTCCTGGTCCCTATCTCAGGTTGCCATGGCAACACTTAAAGAAAGTGAAAAGAAGTCACAACCTGTCAGAGCAGAAGAGTCTACTGGCCAGTACAGCCAACAACCCAAAAGGCAGCAATTTACAACGGTAGCCTTTCCTACAGAAGATGTTACCCTCAAAATCATTAACACCAAGTTAAAACCAAGGATGCAGCCATCATGATTCAAGCAAGCAAAGAAAAACAGTTGAGGCCTCAAACACGGAAGCGCACAGGCAACACAAAGCAAAAGAGACAGTTCCCAGAGCAGTGTGCTCACATTTCCCATGGTTTACCTCAGACAGCTGGGCCATCTTAACTGTAGCCATAAGGTTTTCAATTTCTTTCAAGGTGTGACTCTGTGTTGAGGTAATAGAGAGAAAACACACAGACATTAAATTGAAACATCTATTCCAACAATGATGCTGGTAGCCAGAGCAAGGCATGTTCTGGGGAGAGCACAGCTTGGAGAAAAGAGTAAGGAAATGAAAAGTTACATTTTTCATATGCAGAGTATGGACAGCGACAGCTCAGTCCTCCCAGGACTGAGATGCTCATGCTCCATACCTTGCCCACCACCCCTCCCCATGCCAGCCACACTGTTAGTGCCATACCAGGATGGAGAGCTTGTGCCGCAATGCGGCGTTCTGGAAGTGGCACTGCTCCACCTCCTTCTGTAACATAGTCTTCTCCTCGGTGAGACGTTGTGCATTAGCTTTCTCTGCATTGAGGGCCAAGGCCAGTGCTTTATTGTTGTGCTTTAGGGAGACTTTAATAATGGACGAATTGTCTGTAAGGGACAGATAAGTATCACAAGGAATCAGCATCCACAATCTCATCAGTGCCTCTTCCCTCACCATACTTCTTCCTCTTCACAGAACAGCCTCCCTCAGGCTCAGATCTCTACAACTCAATAGCCCCCACATAAAGTCAGCAGTATAATTCCTTCTAGCAATAGACAACTCCATAAGAGCAGGAAAACCTTTCTGTAATAACACGCAACCCTTGAGACAAACAACCTCTCTATCCTCAGTAGCTCGTGCTCAGTCAGCGAGGTACTGCTTCAGTTCTTGATGACTGATGGCACAGTTCAGGTACTGAATTTAGAAAGATGCTTCTGACTTGTTCTGACTAAGTCACTATAGCTCTGAGTCCTCATCTCCATCCAAAAAGAGGAAGAAAACACTACTTTCCTCTGTAATAGCCCTTGAGCAGATTCAGATCCATGTTTCCCAATTTCAAAACAAATAAAAGTAACAGAAATATCTAACTTTTTCCAAAGTAGTCCAAATTATCTCATGCACTACTGTTGCATTATTTCCCCCATAAAACCAAATCACAGTGGGGCTAGCTCCTGCACGGGATTGGATGTACACTGAAACACTTCCCATGCCTATTACACTTGCTGTTTGGACCCGAGGAGTTGGTTACCCAGACACAACTGTCTAACACCATCTGAGATGCTGTTAAGCAGCCTATGATGCCCCCAGCTGCTGCTCCAAAAGTTCTGTGTTAAACCAGCCTGTCGCAGACAGCTCAGGCGCCTTTGGGCACCTTAAGTGGCACCTGACGCCCGTGTGCCGGCTACTGAACTCGCTGGGGACCCACATGCAGAGAAGCAGCTGTTACACACAAGCCCTGGGTAGGACCCACCACCAACGGCCATAGCCAAAGGCAGCGTAATAAGGTGATGTAGCTGCCAGCTACTGCACGTACTACAAGGCAAAACACACTCACTGATGATTTTTTTTTTGATTTTTGATGCAAGCGAGGCGTTCAGCTTCGCAATCCTCAAGACGCCGTGTTTCTTCTCCCGCATCCGCTCTCTTACACCGCTCAGGCAGATGGACGTTTCGGAAGCCTCCCAAGATGCCATCGCTGGAGAGAGCGACACCCAGCAGGGTTAGCACTCGCATTCTTCCCTTCGGCAAGTATTTACCGGCCGCGACTCGCACTCCCCGCGAAGC